TTTAACCGTTGCCGTTTTATACGATTTCCTCGAGTTCTTTTCGAGAAAACAAAGTTTTACGGTTTTTATCGTAAAACTCGAACGATAGGACGGATCGGGACGAAACGGGAGACATTTCGACCGTGATTCGGAATACGATCGTGTCGAAGGACGTATGCCTTGAATCAAGGATGTGGGAGATCGAGGCTCGGGATGGTCGACTCGACGTACGGCGAGCTAGTTCAGCTTGGCCAGGTCGCCATATGGCGAACTAGGTGATAAAAACCTGTGGGGCGAAGTCAGTAGTTCGCCAGCAGGCGAACTAGTGGGGAAGCTCCTAGTTCGCCTGCTGGCGAACTAAGCCGGGCCGGCTTAGTTCGCCAGCAGGCGAACTAGTGGAGAAGCTCCTAGTTCGCCTGCTGGCGAACTAAGCCAGCTCGGCTTAGTTCGCCAGCAGGCGAACTAGTCGTGACGAGTTCGCGTTCTGCGGCGATTTCGGTTTTTCGCGGTTTTGTAAAACGAGTTCTCGAGTTTTATAAAACGATCTTCGAGTTTTATAAAACGATCTTCGAGTTTTATAAAACGATCTTTCGAGTTTTATAAAACGATCTCTCGAATTTTATAAAACGATCTCTCGAGTTTTATAAAACGATCTCTCGAGTTTTATAAAATGATCTCTCGAGTTTTATAAAACAATCTCTCGAGTTTTGTAAAACTATTCTCGAGTTTTATAAAACGATTCTCGAGTTTTATAAAACGATTCTCGAGTTTTATAAAACTATTCTTGAGTTTTATAAAACGATTCTCGAGTTTTATAAAACGATTCTCAAGTTTTATAAAACGATTCTCGAGTTTTATAAAACGATTCTCAAGTTTTATAAAACGATCTTTGAGTTTTATAAAACGATTCTCAAGTTTTATAAAACGATTTCTCGAGTTCTATGAAACGATTTCTCGAGTTTTATAAAACGATTTTCTCGAATTTTATAAAACGATTTCTCGAGTTTCATAAAACGATTTCTCGAGTTTTATAAAATGATTTCTCGAGTTTTATAGAACGATCTTCGAGTTTTATAAAACAGTCTACGAGTTCTATAAATGACTTTGAGTTTTATAAAACTAGTCCTCGGGTTTTATAAAACTACTCTTTTGGTATTTTCGCGGGGAGTTTTGGCTATTAATTCCGTTGTACCGATTTTGACCCCAACAATTTCCATTTCATACTTGAAACCAATGCATGTCGGACCTCTACTTTAAGAATCCTCTCTTCGAGAGAAAGATGACAACTAAAGATATTATAACCAATTGAGAGAAGACAGAAATTATTAAAACAGAAGTCAATTTGGATATCATATTTGTCTACAGTCTGATATGCTACCAAATTTAGTTTTTTTTAATATTAATTATGCATCATAATATGTCCCATAATGACTAAACTATACCAGTTATATCAACTAAGAAAGAAACAAAAAAATATTCACACATATTTTGATAAGACTGTAATCTAATAAAATCTTATAATATATTTGAAAATATAAACATTCCATTTCAAAAAAAAAATTAACTTTATAAATATCTAAATTGTTAAATAACTGTGTAACTAAGAAGATACAAACCTAATCCAGTATTGATGTCGTCCTCTTCGGAAAAGAAGAAGAAGAAGCTGAAGCAACAGAACCCAACTCCAACACTTCCGATGAAATACTCACAAGTTGCATCGCAAAACTCTCAAAACTATACTACCCGACTCTCTCCCTCGTCTCGAAAAGCTTCCGATCTCTTCTAGCATCACCGGAGCTATACATAGCCCGATCACTCTCTGGACACACCGAGAGCTGCCTCTACCTTTGCCTAGAGTCATCTTCCGGCTCACGATGGTTCACCCTCTGCCTAAAACCTGATAAAAACAAAGATGACGTCAGCAAGAACAAGAACAAGAAGATGGAAGTGTGGCGACGGGAAGCCGCACGTGGCGACTGATGGAAGTGTGGTTTGTTATGACTCAGAGGGAGGTAAGTGGGATGTGGGGAAAACGAAGATGGGTTCTTGTTGGTTTTTGGATTCTTATTGCGGGGTTGAGAATGTTTTGTACTCTGTTTATAATGGGAAGTTTAGATGGTATGATGGTGAGGTGAATGTTTGGAGAGGTGTTGAGGGTTTGGTCGGAATGCCTAAGTTTTTGCCTGGTGTTTCGGTTAGATTGTGTGATTATGGTTGTAAGATGATTGTCGTGTGGGATGAGAACATGCTGTCTAGTGGCGAGAGGAAGATTTGGTGTGCTGAGATTGAGCTTGAAAGGCGTGGAGATTCGGAAATTTGGGGAGAAGTTGAGTGGATTGATCATGTGCTTACAGTTCCTATAGGCTATTATATTGTCAAGGCTCTTGCTGTTACCGTTTGATGAGCGCATATGTATTTTTGCTTTGTGTGTGATCTTTTTGTATTTGCTTACTTGTATTATGAATCTCATTTCTCTTGTTAACATCCACATACTCAGAAGATATCGCTGGATAAGGTGAAAGCATCATGCTTTTAATCATTGCTTTCCTTTCAAACCATTCATTATGCATCTTCATATGTTCCACTTTGTACATATCTTTGGAGTTTACAGTTTTCAAGAAACAACATCCTTTCTAACAAACAACTCCAAAGATTTGATATATTAATGAATAAAAGACCAGTGGGGGTTTTTAAACCTAATAGTCAGTGATTTAACTAATATATAAATTCCACCCAAAAAACTTTAAATTGATAGGAAACTGAGTATCTCTACTGAAACCATACAAACAAACATATATGAATATGTAAATAACTATCTATATATACTAGCAAACTTGTTTTCTTTAACCGCTGATGTCGTCAGTTTTTTTAATAGGAAAAAAACAAGTTAACACCAACAATGCAACTTAACCTGAAGATAAAATCTAATGGATACAATTTTGTTTAAGGCCATGTTTATTTGGGTTTCTTAGGATGGGGTTATTAGTGTCATATAAGAATCACTTTTTTAACTTTTAACTAAGAAAACTAAGAGAACGATCTCTTAAATAAGAGTTTTAATAGACGGTTCTTAGTTTTTCTTAGTTAATCTATATAATCGTCATTTTCTATCCACCAAGTTATACCTCTTCAAGGCGATGGTTGCACAAAATCTCTGGATTTTTTTTCTGGTAATTATTTTCAGTGGACATTGGATTCGCTTTGAATCGTTCTTGCATAAATCTTCTTTCAGTGTATCTTTCCCTCAGAATCTCCAATTCGAAAATTTTTGTTTTCCATATGAAGTTGGTGTATGACTGTTGATTTCTGCCACTTTTAATTTTTGTTAATCTTCATCCTTTGCTTTAAAATATTTATTTATAGATGCAAATTTTATTTTCACCGCTTGCTCCAGGAACATAAATCGATCCAGTTGCCGCTATTTGAATGTCTCTGTAATCCAATATGTTTTTGAATGGTTAGGAATGCGTGGGATGAGATGGAGTTAATTGCATCTTCTTTTTTGGCTGACGAACATTCCACTTGAACACTTACACCAGCGACTATTATCGGTTTTAATGCACAATTGTAACCAAGAGAAGCAGCAAAGTGTAACATACCTTGGCCACCTTCATCCAACACGTTCGGATCTTTTCCACCTCTGCTATCTTTTGCAAAAGTCATGAGTTCAAGCTTTCTTTCAGAGTTTCCTGCAAAAGTTTGTTCTTCGTACTCTCTTTCATTCAGTAGGTTCTGATCCATTTATTCGTCATTCTCGAAAAGCAGTAAACTAATCTTCTCGCTCACTTAGGACAAATCACCATCATTCCCGGAAAGAGAAGAGCTACGGCAATCAGATCCCTTGCATAACAGTTTAACAAATATTGCTTCTAGATTTTCAATAGAATTGCAAGCACTAGAGTCATCTGTCACCAAAAGCTGGAGACTCCAAAACCTTGTACTCAGTATTCACGCACTTACTCCATGCCGTTATTTGGAACATGTATGAAGTTTGTACATAAAAACTTTGGTTTAGGCATGCTCTGCGATTGTAAACAGAAGTCTTTATTAAGTATTTTTGAGTCAAACTGAGTATAAATTAGTGTTTAAGAACCGAATACCCGGTTAAGAACCGAAACCCGAAAGTATTTCGGGTTCAATTTGTTTTAGCGAAAGTTACAAAATCTGAACCGAACCGTACCGAAACCAAACCGAACTTTTATAATATTCGAATGGGGCAGTTTTTTATAAACCCAAAAACCTGAAACCCGAATGAACCCGGACCGAAACCTGATTGTCCAGGCCTATTCTCAATCAACACATCCCATGCCTTTTATAGTAACAAACGTAGATTTTCAGAATCTAAATTATCTAATATATGGAACCTTTGTAAGACAGAAACTTGAAACAAATTATTGTTAGGTTTTTTATCCCTTCCGAAATCATTGTTCTTCTTTCCATTTAATCTCTCTGACTCTCTCCTTTTTCTCTGTCTCTCTTTACCAAAATAAAGGAACAAGACTATGAGCGAGCTCTACAACCTTTCAAATTATTAGAATAAGTGTAAATCAGTCGTTGGGGCAGTTCAAAGATATAAGTAAAGACAAAGTTTGTCATTTTATATTATGGTATTTAATGTATTACCCATTGCTATAACAAATAAAATATAACAAAACTTGTGAAAATAAATAGTTCTTTATGTTTCATGTTAATTTTTAGAAAAAAATAATACAGAAATTTTTTTGTAAAATAAAAACTACCATTGGTTAGTATAGTCATATATACTGAATTAATAAATTTAATACATTTAAATAATTTGAATGTTTAAGTGTGCATGAAAATTTTGCAATTTTTGTGTTAGAACGGTTCAGGATATGTTTAAATAAAATGTTTAAATGAAAGACCAAATTCATCCATATCTAAAAGCTGCTACAAGGCAACCATTTTGTCCATGTCAACAGCGGTTGCGCCCCTTCCTCAATTAATTGCAATGTTTCAGCAATTATACAACTGATTAACCTTTCACTTTTTTCTTTCCACGCAGAACAACGGATGTGAACCAAATTTACAGTTACTGTTCACTACACGTTTTTTTATAACATCATATTTTATTAACTTTTGAGAAGAACCAAGTGAATCCATATGAAGTTCATTTGTTATAAACATAGGATCATAAAAATGATAGTAAAAAGAAGACTCTTGCGGCATTGGTGATCTTGCAAGACGATCTGCAACTTTGTTCCTTGGTCTTCGGATCCATACAAAATGAACTTCTTCAAACTTTTCTCTCCATTTAACTACCTCTAGAATCCAATTGTAAGCATCAAAATGCAGAAAATGTTTATTGATCATTTCCATTGCCTTTTGACAGTCTCCTTCAATAATGATCTTCTTGTAACCTTTACTCCAACAAAACTGCATGGCCATTATGATTGTTTGCATCTCACTCTCCAAGGGATTCTTAGCTTTCTCACCCATAGCTTGTACTGCACCTCTGTAATGACCGTGATCATCACGCAAAACCCATCCCGCTTTGCTTTGCAGATTTGCATTAATAAAGGATACATCCACATTACATTTCAACCATCCTTGCTCTTGTCTCCTCCACATAAGAGTATCTTGATTATTGGCATTATACCGATGTGCTCCATTATCTTCAAGTCCCACTATGTTAGCATTCCCTTCTTTTGCATCTGTCTTTGATAATCTTAATATTTCCCCCCCCCCCATGGAATTTTTGTGTGCTGAAATAATAAAACATTCCTACTTTTCCAGAGGCGCCATAATATCCAAATTGGAAGATCTTGAAAATGTCTCAATGAACGTGATGTACCACATTGCAAACATGCTTCAATCTTTTGCTCTAACGTTGCCGCAGAGTTATTGATTATCATATTTCAAAATTCTGAGGCTTACCAGACTCTTTGAGCATAAACACAATCAAAGAGAATATGTCTCCGTTGAAGGTTAACTCTTGTTGGTAAGCTCTGAAAGTGTTCTCCAAAGAAAATGCTTTATTTTTGGTGCCGTCTTTGTTTTCCAGATTCTCTGTTTCTGATTGATATATCCATATGTTGGCACCACCATTGGATTTTTAGGGAGATGAGTGATTGACCAATATCCTGATTTGACTCAATAAATACCATCTTCATTATAATGCCATCCCAACAAATCCAATTGAGCCGTGGAACAGATCTTGAGAGATAGTATCTTGTCAACATCATCAGCGTGAATAAACCCCCTTACCTTGTTCTCATCCCATGCTCTACGATCAGAGGTAAACAACTCTCTAACCCATCGAATATTATCTCCTTCATGTAGAGGTCTTGGGGCCCTTGGGGGATGATCTGGAATCTAGGGATCTTTCCATATATAAACATATTCACCATTCCCAATGATAAAACACATACCTTGCCGTAATAGATCTCGTCCATGAAGAATAGACTTCCACGCATAGGATGACTTTTTCTTAACTGTTGCTGTAAAGATGTTATCATTAGGAAAATACCATGCTTTAAGTACTCTAGCCATCAAACAATTTGGTTGTTGCAGGATCCTCCAAGCTTGTTTTGCAAGTAAAGCTTGATTAAAATGTTACAAGTCTCTGAAACCTAATCCACCTTCCCATTTTGGTATACATAGACGATCCCAAGAATACCAATGTAACCCTTTTTTGTCTCCAGAACCCCACCAGAATCTTGCCAGCACCGAGTTGACTTCTTCACAAATCTCTTTTGTTAATCTAAAAATATTCATAGAAAATATAGGCATTCCCAGAGCTACTGCTTTCAACAAAACTTCCTTGCCCCTAGGTGACAAAAATCTCTGTTTCCATTCTTGAGTATCCGCTTTCACCTTATCAACTATATAGGTAAATATCTCAGATTTCTTTGAACCAAACTGCTCTGGTAAACCAAAATATTTTCCAAGACCACCCTCACTATGTATACCCAAAAGATTCCTCATCCTTGTTTTTGTAACTTCTGAAATCTTTGCGCCAAAAGTGATAGCTGACTTTGTAAGATTAATAGCCTGGCCAGATACCTTTTCATAGAGATCAAAAATCTGTTTCATTTTCTTTCCAGCCTTAGGATTTGCCAAAGAGAAAAATAAGGAATCATCCGCAAATAGCAGATAGTTAACTGGTGGTGCTTGAGTAGCCACTTTTACTCCAAGTAGAGATAGATCTACCATTGCTTTTTGCATCAAATGAGATAACACTTCTGCACATAAGATGAAAAGGTAGGGAGAGAGGGGATCACCCTGTCAGATCCCCCTTGCTGGAATAATATATCCTTCAGGCGAGCCATTAATCAGTACTGAGAAAGATACTGAACTCACACAAGTCATGATCCACTTAATCCGTTTTTGATGAAAACCCATAGCTTGCATCGTTCTCTCCAAAAAACTCCACTCAGGGCG